CAGGTACGTCTGTTCATAAAAGGAGGAGATGGTGGGGTAAGTAGGCTTGAACAGTTTCAGCCATGGAAATGAAACTTACTACAAAGTTTCTGTTAGTGAATGAACTTTTTTACTAGCAGGACTGAAGGGAAAGTTAGTCCAAAACACTCCCACAGCAGAGGAATTTAAACTGTGCACACAGTCTGCAGTGGGGAGGAAGCAAGAGCTGCTTTTACCTGAGGAGCGGTTCCTCCTGCGTCTTACACAGACGAGCCTGACCGGATTTGGCAGCACAGCGCCGTGAAGGGTAAATATCCAGCAAAGGTCCCATTGCTCTGCTGCACCAGGTACTGTTCATGCTGTTGGCCATCTCCAGGAGAGGGTCATATTTTACATCGGCCAGAGGATATTACTGGTTTGGCCCTGGCGAAATAGGACAGGGAGTAACATTTCAGCCACAGTGACCATCTTCTCTTTGTTTCAGGATCAGTTTAGAGGACCTGGGGTAGGATAGTGCTCATGCAGGAGGACCATGCATAGATGAGAGTGGTTATGGATCAGTATGACAGAGAATTGTGCACTGAAACTAGTATTTTCATCCATTCAGTCTAGCTATGTATGTTGGATTTAGATTAAATCAGAATGGCTTTGGTTTTGACCTCTGCACTTCAGAGCTTAAAAGTGAAAAAACAAAAAATTTCAGTGAATCTTCTACACTCTGATTCTCAAAGTCACTTGAATATTATGACCAGGACACTGACAGATGTCACTCCACACTCTTTGCAAGATTAAAAAGAAAAAAAAAAAAAAAAATCTTTCAAGTGTTACTCTGCTAGTCCTGTTCCACTTGATGTAAAACAACAACAACAAAAAAGCAAAAACATGAAATAACATCTAACTATAAATCTGACACGTATGTGGTGGAGCCAATTCAAAACAGTATTTCAGTTACTGAAAAGGAATATTAGATTTAGCTTTCTTGTCTGGTAATTCAGCCTTCTAGCCCCCACAGTGGATACCCTGTCTCAGTACGTATTTTTGATCACTCTTATTTCAAGTTTTATCAAAGAATGGGACAGCTCTGATTGGTTAACAGTAATGATGTCCAGAGCCCTGTAATGTTTTTAAATTAGCCACCTCATCCACCTACAGAACCATTCCATTACTGTCCATTTTTCAGTATATCTCCCCCCATGCATGCAGTATACCTACCCTCCTCTCTGTTGTGCACTTTAAATCTAGAAGTCTAGGAGTAAGGTTCCTAGGCTGAATCCTAGCACTTTTGCTTAGCTTTGTTACAGAGAGGGCAAGACAATTTAGTCCTTAGATGCCTTATGCAGCCTTTTACATATCTTTTTCTCTCCTTTTTGTCTCCCTGTGTCTTAAGTAAAAAAAAAAAAAAAAAAAACCCGAAGTAACACATTCTTCGTGTTTCACAGTTTCACTGTCTCTTAGAAAAGTCTGTTTTCACATGTGACCCCATCTGTAGAGTTGCAATGGAAGGTATCTGTGCGTTACATCAAGGTTTCTTTCTCACGCAAGCTTGATACATCATTGTAACATTTCTGAATGCGGTAAAGGAGCCCCAAACACCTAACTTCAGAACTCCACTGCCCGCTTTTAGCTACCTGGTATACAATTAGATGTATTATTAAATTGTAGCAACAGAATTTTCCTGCCAAGATACTCCTGCTCTCCTCACTCTTACAAGACCACAACCTATAGGCCCTGCTCAATAGCAATAATGTCTGTAAATACATACTTTTTAAAAATGAGCTCCAGATTTTGAAGCTCTAGTGCAATACAGTGAATATATTGTATGTTGCTGCCATATGCATTTCTGCAGATCTGTTCACCGATTCCTGAGGAACATCTTCCTACATGTTCATAAAGAGGTCATGATATGTGAGAATCCAGATAAGGACATGCAGTAATATCCAGTAAGGTCCAAAAGACAACTTTTTGTTGGTGGTAAGTACAGAGCATTCCAGTAGAACCATGTTGTGTAAACCTTCCTATTTCTACATATTTTGTTTTGACACAGCCACTACAGTATTTAATACAGCAGGCCATAAAACCATAGCTCCCTACTGGGTAAATTGGGTCAGCTTCCCCAGCATGTCTCAGAGCCTCAGATGACTCTGCCTATTAGGGTAACAACTTGATTTTTTCCAGTTACAGGAAAAAGCACATTCTTGCTGAAATACAGTTCTTATGAACACTGCACAGGTTGTAAATGCTCCCTGACAAGCCCGATAAAACTAAGGGAAAGCTGAGTGCAAAGATGCATTAGGTTACTTTTTGACTGATGTTCTCTTGCTCAAAGAGGGACTCCTGCAAAATTCCACAAGACTGTCTTCTGTAGAAGATACATGGGTTTATCACAGTTCAAGTTCTTCTACAGAAGAAGCCTGCACATGCAAGATGCTCTTAAATCAGCTTTTAAAAGGGTCTAGACTGCAGTACTAGGGTTCTGGCATAAAGCAAGGCATGACCACTTAGTCCTGTAACATCAACACTGCCTTTGGAGTGTCACTTGAGATAGTATTTTTGGGAGCTCAATAGCCACTGCTTATGCTGTAGCAAGCTGTAGAACTACAGCCTCCAGCACTACCAGAGTAAGTCAGTCCCTGACTGAACATGATTCTAGGGATTCTGCAGAATCTACCCTCCTTACAGCCAACAACTAGGTAGATCATAGGCTTAATAGCCATCATTCTGGTTAGGAAGCACAGTAATATTTGATGGCGTTATTGATCCCATGCCAATATAAGCCAGCCAGTACTTGTTCCAGAGTCTACAAGCCCTACCTATCTAAATAATAAGTGTTGACCACCTGTAGGACAAAAACCTGAGGCTTTTCTTCCTCAGGAGTAAGGTTGATCACCTCATCACGGTGAATCTCCACCAGAAAAAGAGAAACAACTCACATTATAGGGACAAAGTATCTTCCCCAGATTATCAGGGCCCAAGCCCATATTCCACCAACCCCATCAGACATCTGCAGTTCCTGAAACAATAAAGTGCTGTGACCCAGCAGTTCTTCAGGTTAAACATAAGTGCTTCAGAATTGTAGCCCAAACCAAACCAAACCAAACCAAACCAAACCAAACCAAACCAGGTAAAAACCTCTTTACCTTTGCATCCTCCTCTGCTGCATCACAGGAAATTGCCAAACCTTCTTGCCAAGAAATAATCCTTCAATATTCTCCACCTGTAAAAGACAACCCCCCACCTTCAGCTGGGATAAACTTTGAATTAGCCATGTGAGAATCAGCTGTGTGAAATTCTGAGTTCAGACCTATCCCCTGCATACTTTTTTCTTTTTTTTTTTTAACAGAGCAAACTGTACTCCATGGTTGGTTTTTCATTTTTCAGAGGTTTGAGGATTAGTATAGTCTATTACAAGTTTTCCCAGAGAAGAGGAAGAGATGTACGCTTATTCCCTGAGGGGAAAAAAAAATACTTTTGCATATGAGATTGTACATCAAATTGTGAATATAGTTGTATGTGGAAGACTTTTAACGTTTATCAGGAACCTGCACCTAATTTTCTTACAGAGTTGGGCCTTAAGAGCTCATGTGTGCTTTCACAAACTGTAAGGGCTTATATTGCAAAATATTGGATAACTATGAAACTTGAATGTATGAAAATCAAGGTTAACAATTTTTGAAAAATTAGATTTCACAAACGTAATACAGTGTTCAATATATTTCCTGGAGGAAACTTGCATATCTCTTTCAGATGGGCAGTGCATTACAGTGTAACAGCCTCTGGATAGGCTGCTGTCTAGAATCCAAGGCAACTGCTTAGACAGAAGCCATGGGCCAGGGAGAAATACTTTTTACAGCCCAAGGGTATCCATTTTCACTAACTCTTTATACCAAGGGAAATGGTTTCAAGGAGAGAGAGTAAGAGAAACACATTTCAGACTGGCCAGCAGCATCGGTACCTATGACACACGGGCTGTGAAAATGTTGCATTTAGTCCCGGTACCTGAACATGTGTGACACAGAGCTAAACCTGTGTTGCTTGCAAGGCTCACGGGGTTTTCTGAAGGTAAAACAACCTGCCATTCCTACTCAGCCTAAGGATCTCGTGGTGTTAGATTGTAACTGCCCTCAGAGCACTCCTGCAGGATCTGGTTTTAGTAATAAGGTAGAAGGCCACAGATGAACAGATTTTGCCTTTGCCTGTATTAGGAGACATACCTCAAAACCCAGCAGTTTTGCACCTTAGGGTTAGCTGAAAATGAGTTTCACTGTTACACATGTGTTTTGTAGAGGTGTTGTCCAAGATTTGGTCTGGCAGAAGCTACAGTGGGCATACTTATCATTTCCATTGTTGTGAATTGACTATGCAGTATCACTGACTGCCACAAACTTACACCGAAGTTTATGAAATTGTTGTTTTTATTAAATTCTTAAATTCTTACCTACTAGAGGCAGACGAAGAGAGACTACAAGGTAAGCAAAGGTTTCCATCCTTTATGGTTTTGGCAAATACTTGAAAATCTGCTTCATGTATCTATCTCGGGAACCAGAAGCAAATATAATACAAAATTATGTATACCACTTGACTGGTGCATAGACTGCATTAAAATAATACAGCATGTTTCACAGTAAATGTTTATTGGTTTTACTGGCATTGTTGTTAACCTTTCAGATAGTGAGAATGGGTAAAGTATACCAGTTTTACCTGAAAATGACTGACATTTTAGAGGGCATACATTGTATTAATGATTACATCTTAATTAGGATTTTTGTTTGTTTGTTTTTCTAGGGTAATACACTGGATTTTTGTTAGAAATTCTGCAAGAATTATACAATCAGTAAAGATGTCATACATAGTGAAAGGAGTTAAATGTTGCAGTCCTGTGAATCAGATGCACAAAGTAACAGGAACTCTGTTTAAAGCACACATATTAAAGAACATATTAGGCATCAATGAACAACAACGCAAAATTTCACGTACATCATCTCAACTTAGTTCTGAAAAGGCAAACTCTTATAATTATGTCATTGTTGGAGCTGGATCAGCAGGGTGTGTATTAGCCAACAGGTTGACTGAAGACCCTCTCAGTACCGTACTACTTTTGGAAGCAGGCCCTAAAGATACCCTTTTAGGTAGCAAAAGACTGATGTGGAAGATTCATATGCCTGCTGCATTAACTTACAACCTCTGTGATGAGAAATACAACTGGTATTACCACACAACATCACAAAAGCATATGGATAACCGAATTATGTACTGGCCCCGTGGAAGAGTGTGGGGTGGCTCCTCTTCTCTCAATGCTATGGTATACATTCGTGGACATGCAGAAGATTATAATCGATGGAGCAGGGAAGGGGCTATAGGATGGGACTATGAACATTGCTTGCCCTATTTTAAGAAGGCACAGACACATGAGCTCGGGCCAGATCAGTACAGAGGTGGAAATGGACCCCTGCATGTGTCAAGAGGGAAAACAAACCATCCTCTCCATCATGCGTTCCTGGAGGCAACCCAGCAAGCTGGGTATCCCTTCACAGATGATATGAATGGCTATCAGCAAGAAGGATTTGGCTGGATGGACATGACTGTACACCAAGGTAAATCATAAGGGGTCCTTAAGTAATTTGTGTTTCTGATGCACCAGTGGTACTTCTGAAAGCATTTTGGAATATGGACATGTAATTTACACTGCCATTTGGTTGTTTAGATTACTGAACAGCTATGGCACTCTGTATTTATACCCTCTCCCTTTCACAGCAGCTTGCTGCCAGTCTAGGGTGTATTTAATTGAAAACTGAATTGGCATGCAAGTCTTGATTCATACTTAATTTTGGGAAGGAGAGCAGGTTTTCAGAATGTCATTGTGAAATTTGTTATGTTAAAATAAAATCTTTAGTTATTATATCAAATCACATTTGCTTTGAGCTCTATAAACTCTGTAAACATCCTGATGGTTATTAGCCAAAATCTTGAAGAATACTGAGCATGACTATTTTGGCATTTAAATGTACATTGTAGGTCAAAGATGGAGCACAGCTAGTGCCTACCTTCACCCAGCCATATCACGCCCAAATTTGTCAGTCACAGAGAAGACACTTGTAACAAAAATCTTGTTTCAAGGAACAAAATCCATTGGTGTTGAGTATGTGAAAAATGGGCAAACGAAAAAGGTAAGAGATTTTTATTTTCCGGTCTGAAAGGTATGAGTCAAAGCAGAAGTAAATTTTTTTTTAAAACCAAACTTTTATTAAAAGTGGCACTTTACTATGCAAAATGTCTGCTTTTCAGATGCTATGTTGTCTCTTCCAGTATATGAGTCCTTGTCAGTTATTTTACAGTAGGTGGTATTTCAGCTGTATCAATTTAGAGCTTAACATCTCCGTTGTATTTCCATCTCTCGGTAGTGAGGGGACAAGCCATAACTTGACGTTTTGCAAAAGTGTTGTGTAAGGTTTCTGGCTGGAACCTGTGGTGCAATCATGCACTGACTCAGAGTATTGACTAGTGTGCTGAAATGCTGATGTTTCTGAAAAACAATTCTGAAAATGCTGTTCTGGCATAGGAAAACCTGTAAAAGCTAGATATTGAAAGCTGAGTGGCTCAAGGGATAAATAATGAGTCATTCACTTCTACTTTGCTATTATGTATTGAGTTTTGGGATTGTGATGATGAAACATAATGAAGAAACATGCCTTATGGTTGTTTGTGGAATGAATATTTTTCAGTCTCAGTCCAGCTTCCACCGAACATGTGATCATGTGGAAGGAAGGCTGAATTGCCATTACAACTTAACTGTGGATAAACAGTTCACTTTATGCAGCTTTCAATCTATCAATTTCTATAAGACCTAAAACATTCTCACTTCCCTTAACTCTTTACTATTACAGCTGATTATGGAGTATGTAACTAGGAAATTGCCTAAAAGAGATTTGTATGTTAATAACTTGAGATATTTAGTCACAAACAATTATAAAACAATTAAAAAGTGTAACAGTAATATCCTAAAGAGAGGAGAGTACAAATTTTGATGGTTTGAGTTCAGTAAGGCTTACAAGACTCAACAGACAAGTGTTCTGTGACTGAACACCTGCTAAAAGCTAAAATACAATGTAAAGAAACTGTTCTTTCATTTTCTAATGCACAGAACAAATCTGTTGTTTTCTAAGTGGATTGGTAATGATAATAATTTTAACAATGTAAAACAAAAGTTGCAGAAAATTTAATTGATTTCATGAGCTATTAAATGTCTGTGGAAGCAGTGTCTCTACTTGCTGGTCTTGTGCCCTTATCAAGATTAATTTTGTTGAAGTCTTGGAAAGCTAATTACATATGATCAAAGACTTTCTGAATACTGGACCACTTTAATTGCAAAATTCTTTAATTGCTATGAATTTTTATACGTATTAATACATGTATGAATGAAACATAGTAAATGATATATATTTATAGCATATATCATAAGTACAACTTCAAAGTATTTCCCTTCCTGTTTTTTTCCCCCCAACATCAAAATTGCAGGACTTGTCTGCTTTTACTTTCTGGAAAATTTTGTACCTAATTCAGTGTGTCTACAAAGGATATCTTATATGTCAACAGGCAACATACATGTGATGAGGGAGGATGGAGCGCATCCAAAGTGTGTGTGTTCATGAGCCATCTCATTGGAACAGAAAGGGATAGTTTGAACAATGTTGGGTTCACCCATATCATCCTCTTTCAAAGAGTAAAGGGAAAAGAAGGAGGGTATCAATATTTTCTCTTTTAACAGTGAAAAGCACTGAGGGGAGTAGTTCTGATCCTAAATTTAAGGGATGTGGCAACAGGGAAGAAGTGGCCCCAGATACAAATGACAGAGAAGGATTTTGGTATTGCTAAATGAGAATATTTTGGGGCAGAAATCCTTGGAAAGAAGCTGTGCAAAAAATACTTGCAGAGAAGGTTCTAGAAAAAGAACTATGCAGCACAGAAAACCGAGTCAAAGGCAGAGGTATAGTTTAGCAGCCTATATCATGCCCAGCTCAGGACTCAGCCTCCAACTGTTTGATGAAAAGTCTGTAAGCAAACCAGAATTATATATATGCCTGCAGCCAGTTTTCTCAGTAGTGCTTTAGTGGTTGAGGGACTTCTGAGGTCTACAATGAGCTAAGAAACCAAACATTAGTCTTGTTTGAATTAAGAAAATAAGCTCTTGAGAATTTTTTGAGCTAGCATATCTGTGAATTCAAAATCTTCATTAGGAGTTTCAGTTTTAATTTACAAACCTTTATTGAAAATGGAAGAGGCGCTTAGCTGACTGATCTGAGTGTCATAGGTAGTTTTTTTCCTGGCACGTAGCACAGGAGTTTATTGGCAGCCACGGTACTGGCTGGGCTGAATGTTTGTGTGCCATACAGTTTGAACGGATTGTAAACACAGAAATACAGACATGATCAAAGTGAAAGCTTGATAATTTCTCTCTGCGGAAACTTCTGGCAAGATAGGAATACATTCAGAATGAGAAAAATGTGAGGGGAGGGTGTCTAGTCTGGATCAGAATAGCATATCTGAACAGAAGCTTTTGACATGTTGCTTGCATTCAGATCAGGCTTGATAAGACTTTTGCACTCATTTCTTTTTAGGCTTTTGCCAGTAAAGAGGTTATTTTAAGTGGAGGTGCCATAAATTCTCCACAGCTGCTTATGTTGTCTGGGATCGGCAATGCAGATGATCTAAAAAAACTGGGGATCCCTGTTGTTTGCCATCTTCCTGGTAATTCTATTATTTCTTTTAACCTTACATCTTCCTATGGATGCAATTCAAAGACCATTAAATGAAATGAATCCATGACATTCAGTTGTCTTTATGTCAGGTTGTGTGGACAGGAATGTAAGTGTTACAAATCAGTGGAAATGTATTGATTTTAGAACTGAGCAATAAACTCCTACACTTTCTTCACTACATTTGATAGCAAAAAATGCCTTTCTGAAAAATGCCACTGAGTACTTCTAAAGCAGCATACTTATCATTTAGAATTTTGAAAGAGTTTTGATCCACAACAGATTGTATAAACTCCCACTGTCATCTATATTCAAAGATAGAAGGAATAACACGAACTTTTCCTTAAAACCAGAAAAGCCAGGACTGCATTTAGAAGTCATATCTGGCAATTCTAGAACAAGTGATATGTCTGTCATTTAACTTTCTATTTTCATTCTAGTTATGCTATGTTTATGTAAAACCTTATTGTGACATGAGCAAAAGGCTGATATGACTCATGGTCTTGGTCTTAGTCATCACTGCCCTTTTAAGAGGTTAGTTAGTTCCCATTTATGCTGTTTTCTGGTTGCAAATGTTGTGTGTAATTGCTCTGTGTGAAGTAACTTTTCCCTTTCTTCTCCCTCCTCCCCCTCAAGGAGTAGGCCAGAACCTTCAAGATCATTTAGAAGTGTATGTCCAGCAAAAGTGCACCAAACACATTACTCTATATAATGCACAAAGGCCGGTTAACATGGTGAGGATTGGTCTAGAATGGCTTTGGAAGTTTACAGGTATGAAACAAAGTATGCAAGCATTCTACAGTTGATTGATTTTATCAGCTTTTCATCCATGAATTTCAAAGTCTGGGAGCGTTGATGTATAATTTTTTTAAATGTTCTGGGAAATAACTGGAGCTTGCAAATGGACTTGAACTATTTCTTTTTTTCTAAATCAGAATATTTTAAAACAGTTAGGTAACAATGGAGGGTTTTATACACTTTTTAAACATTTTTGTATCTCATTTTAAGAAAAATTCTACATTTAAAAATCTTGGTTCTACTGAGAAAAGCTGTTGTAAAAAAAAGAAGAAAAAATTCTATTTGAAATAGATACCGTGTCAATAAAAACATATTGTTGAACTGAATTAAGTTTTCTATATAATTGACCCAAAAGAATTAGTTTGTAGTTTGATCAGAACCCTTCAGGCTTGCATGTAAATCAGAAGTGACTTTCGTTAAAATGACACACTCATTTTACAGTAACCCAGCTGTAAGTTGTACCTTAAAAAGAATCTGCAAAAGTAATCATTGAAATCAGTAAAATAGTTTGGCCACTTGCGGAATTATTATGTTAGTATTTGACAACTTACGCTGGGTATATGTGGCTTTTTACCATGCAAGTAAATATTGAGGGCTAACTTATGATTTTAAAGGGATGTGAAAATAACATAATATGAGGGGCACTGCAGGCTCTTCATCTTTCCCTTTCAGGGTAGATACTGTGGACAGCTCTGCCTATTACATGTGACTGATGGGGTAACTATACTGCCTGTCATGGAGCAGTAATATCAGGATGCTGCAGTCAGTTCCCCCCACACCTGTTAGGATCCTGGGACCAAATCTGCCCTGGAGTTAGACCCTAGGCCTACCAGTTACAGTGAGATAACTGTAACATCCCACTCTCAAATGAGTGGGATTTCCAAAGATATGCATATTTACATTTATCTAGTGATTAAAAAGCAGATGGAAGTGATGCATATTACTTACATTACAAGCTGTTCATAATGGATTTGCGTTCCTTGCAATTGCCACTGTATATATAAATTATTCATAATAGTGAAACCAAGGGTTAAGAAGTGGATTTCTTGCTTTTCTGAGGTCTTTTAATGGCATTTTCTCTCTAATTTACACTCTCTAGGTGAGGGAGCCACTGCCCACTTAGAATCTGGTGGTTTTATCCGAAGTGAACCGGGGGTTCCTCACCCCGACATTCAGTTCCACTTTCTCCCTTCTCAGGTGATTGATCATGGTCGGGTTGCTTCCACAATGGAAGCTTACCAGGTGAGTTGTTGAAGAACATATTCCAGTAATGTTCTGTAGCGATTAGCAAGGAGGTTTATCCTCTATTATAAATATCGATAATTTGGCTATATACTGAAAAATACTTTGGTTCAGTATAATACAAAAGAGCTGGCTTAACCTCCTACATTGGGGAAAAAACATGAGCTTGTTAGTTGATATTGCTACCAAAATTATGTTACTTTTTATCTCTGGGAAAGTAGGCAAGTATTTGCACTGCTGAGGTGCCACAGAGCTATTGATTAGGATACCATTGTGCTAGATGCTGTATGAAACTAAAACAGGGCATTACCTGTTCCACTGCAGTTCAGACAGAGGTTTAAGTGGGAATGTATGAGGCCGCTCATTTATTCATTGGCACAAAGCCAAGCCCTGATTTAGACTATCATCTTGATCCAAAAGTCTGCTAATGCTGGGGAACTGTCACTGAATGTAGATGTTTCTTCTTGCTAATCTCTTTTCTTCAGTGATGATAGTAATTTGGTCTCATTGCTGATTGTATTAGAATGCTCTGCTACTGCTAAATTGGAATGGTTGTATTTTAAATTAAAGTTAACAGCTGGGAGTTGATGACAGGTATATTCCCTTCCCCTTATGGAATATCATATTTACAACAAATTTATATAAAATGGAAAAATGTTCAATGGCATTTTCCATTATCTTCCTTTAATGTTTACATGTGCTTAATTTGTAAAGACTGTCCAACTTGCAAAAAAAATCATACTAAATTTGGAAATATGTCTGGTGGGATTGTGTCATGAGTATAGCATGGGTGTTGCAGGTCCACGTGGGACCCATGAGGAGCACAAGTGTGGGCTCGCTAAAGCTGAAGAATACAGACCCAAATGACCATCCTATCATTGAGCCAAACTACATGTCAACAGGTAAATGCAGCCTCTCCTTGCTCTGATGTCAGCTTACTTCGTGCCTGTTTCAGTAGCAGATTTTGTATCTGCTCAACTCCAGTTCAGAAGTGCTGGTTGGTGCATTGTTGTTTATTTCTCATTTATAAAAGTCAGTTAGTATCAAAAGAGGCCATTGTGCAAAGCACTGTATAAATGAAAAAGAATTCCCTGTTGGGGATGCAGTCAGGGTTCTTAGTGCATCATGCTGTTCATTTCATCCCCTCCTCTGCTGGTGAAGGAATGGATCTTGTTTGCTTCTTTGTGCTGAGACTGGTGTCCTGGTTTCAGCTGTGATAGAGTTCATTTTCTTCCTAGTAGCTGGTGTAGTGCTGTCTTTTGGATTTAGTATGAGAAGAATGCTGATAACACACTGATGTTTTTAGTTGTTGCTGAGTAGTGCTTATGCTAGTCAAGGACTTCTCAGCTTCCCATGCTCTGCCAGGTGCACAAGAAACTGGGAGGGGACACAGCCAGGACAGCTGACCCAAACTGGCCAAAGGGCTATTCCATACCATATGGCGTCATGCTCAGTATAGAAACTGGGGGGAGTTGGCTGGGGGGCAGCGATTGCTGCTCGCGGACTGGCTGGGCATCAGTCATAGGGTGGTGAGCAATTGCATTGTGCATCACTTGTTTTGTATATTCTTTTATTATTATTACTACTACTACTACTTTGTCTTCCTCTGCTGTCCTATTAACCTGCCTTCATCTCAACCCACAAAATTTACTTTTTTTTTTTTTTTTCGTCCCTGATTCTGTCCCCCATCCCACCGGGGCAGGGAGGGTGAGCAAGCAGCTGTGTGGCCCTTAGTTGCCACCTGGGGTTAAACAACGACACTTGGCTAGACAGTGGGTGTAGCGAAATAAAGAGCAATTCTTCATAGCTGACCTATTCCCTTTTGGGATTGTGCAATATAAGTGAAAGTTTTGTTCACGGTGAATTAAATATCTGTGACTTTGAAAAATGTCCTACTTTATAATGGCTTTCAGCAGTAAGTGAGATACTTTCCCTCCAAGCCTTTTTTCTTTGATGCTATTTTTACTGTTATGCGGTCTGTCTTTACTACTAAGTTAAGGGCGTACTTACAGTTTTCTTATTTTCTCTCCATACAGAAAGAGATATTTGGGAATTCCGCCAGTGTGTCAAGTTGGCCAGAGAGATCTTTGCTCAGAAAGCATTTGAAAACTTTCGCGGGCCTGAAATTCAACCAGGAAGCCATGTTCAGTCTGACAAAGAAATAGATGCTTTCATAAGGCAGAAGGCTGATAGTGCTTATCATCCTTCCTGCACCTGTAAAATGGGTCAGCTTTCAGATAGCACTGCTGTAGTTGATCCCCAAACAAAAGTAATTGGTGTTGAAAACTTGAGAGTAGTAGATGCTTCAATAATGCCCAGTGTTGTCAGTGGAAATTTGAATGCCCCAACAATTATGATAGCAGAGAAAGCTGCAGATATAATTAAGGGCCTCCCGTCACTTCAGGAGAAAAATGTTCCTGTATATAAGCCCAAAACCTTGGAAACACAGAGATAGACAAATGTTCTCATACTTTCACATCTTTTGGTACTTAGGCTTTCATCAGCATGTTGGTATCTCATACTGAACATGCCAACAAAATAAATACCATGCAAAACAACATATCCTATTAAAATAACTGTTAATTTGAACCATTCTCTTACATTAGACTACATTTTTTTTTAATCAGTTGCCTTAAGCTGCTGATTTTGGTTAAATATGACCTCTTGTGGTACAATTCAGATTTTTTTGTTGAAAAGAAGCTGTTTCTAAATGACAAGACAGTTGTGCACATAAGCCAGAAATACTGTGTGATTGCATGAGGAATGGAACAGATAACGCGCTATTTTGAAAATCATTATGGTATGCCTTGTTATTTAAAGGAAGGATTTTAATTGCTGTGAGAGTGTCGCCCAAGACAACAGCTAGTCAGTAATCCCTACATCCTGCAAAGAATGGTTAAGTAAATGTAAGCATTTATGCAATTTCATATTCACAGGCCAAAGTAGTTCATGTCAGAATTCATAGGAGAGGGAGGAACCTGCATGTGTTTGGAATTTGTCAAATGTGGTTTTTTTATGAGAGGAATGCACAGTTTACAAATCCTTACTGCAAGTTAGACTTCACCGTACTTAGCAGTACTTAACTGTACAGTGTTCAGAAAGAAGACATACATTGTATTTATCAGAAACTTATTTTTCTAAAAAAATGCAGAACAGGAGCTGATATTTATAAAAATATACTGGAAAACTGGAATTTCTCCTTTTTTCACAAGGAGCTTAGTAGAATTCAGTTAAAAATTTAAGTCGATTTAGTTATACCACTTTATCATGTAGCACAGTAAGAGGTCTGCACATCTGCTCAAAGATGAGTGTTTGCAAAAGATATTTCTCAGCAAATATTCTGAATGCTGCCTTACTATCACTCAAATTTTATAAAAATACTACAGCCAAGCTAGATTTAAAATGAAAGGTTACTCAAAATAACTGCATAAGGTCAGATATTGATATATGGGAAGAGATCTTTTTAAATTAGAAGGCAAGCAACTTATTCAGTGAACCAATGCTATATTTTAGTTAGGACTTAAATCTTTGGTTTACTATCTTCAGATGTGTAAAGCAAGATACATGATCTTTCATGGCTGTTTTCTGTGTCAATCTAACTTTCAGGTACTGATTTTTAAAAAAAACCAAACCTAAAGAAACTGAACTCATTGAATGAAATTGAATCCATCAAGTTGTTTGGATTTATTAAGTACTCCAAATTAACTTCTGACTAAGCAGCTGTCAAATCATAAAGTAAAAGCTTCTGTAGCCAGAGATTGCTCAGGACTTGTGTTAAACAGAATAAACTTCTGCAGAAAAAATGGAATTTTACACCATTTGAGCAGGTTGTAAAAAAACTTGCTGACTCAGATGTTGGCTACAAGGGCCAATTGCAGATGTTTAAGGCAGATACTTCTACCTCGTGCTGCTTGCTGTAAGGCAGTGGTTGGAAGCCCTGCTGCTGAGGGGAAGGACTTAATTCATTAGAGTATCTGCATAAAGACAAACAAAACTACTGAAGATGGAAGATGATAGCAGTGAACTCTGCTCCAAAAGGAGACAGGTAAACCCTTTCTATGTATGTGATGCATTCTTCTGGAATGAGGGGAAGAGCAAGAATATTTTAAGTCATAGGTGATTGATTAGCTCTGTTAATAAGACAATGCAAATGATGCAACTGTGCGTTGGAGGAAAGCATGAACTGTGTCTCTGGTGTACCTTTTTATGGCAAATAATTTTTATTCAGCACCTGTGCTTTTGAGATTTTCACTTAAAGGTATTGAGTAGGTATCTTAGCGTCATTTGGAATACAAAGTATTAGGATACTCAGAGAGATATATACTGGTGAGACTTACCACAGTCCTGTGCTGTTGAGAGGGGAAGCAATTTGGAAAGATGGAATACTGAAGTTCCTGCATTTGCAGGTTTACAGCATGGGTTTCCACGCTAGGCGTGCAAGATAGGAATTGTTCTTACGCAACTGCAGAGGATTAAGTAGCCACTGCTGTACATTACTGAACACGCACAGAGCTATCCTCTGCCATTATGTCAAACTCCAAAAGATGAGGAAACGGCAAGGTTAGATACATATGCCAAACTGTGTGTGCATCATGCTCAGGTAGACATTGCTGCACTGTGCAATGAGATAGTCATCATTTCTTCTGAAACATCATCACCTTTTCTTGGAGTTTTAAACATACATAGGCACCTTGCAGATTCCTCCCCTTCTAAACACTTAAATATTTTCATTGCTGTGAACTGCAGTTGCTTTATTTAGGCCCCACTGCTATAGAATGTTGAGGCTCCTTCATGACATTGCTTTGATGCAGTGCTGAAGAAATGGCTCAGGTATTTGAAAGTTTTGTTGCCCTGGGGAAATCTTTAGGTAGCATCAAGCTACCATTAATTTCTCCTGCATTGTATCTGGTTGCTGGTATTGAATTCCTGTTAAAATTGTTCTTACTTCTAGCAGAGTCAAGTCTGCTAAGGGATACTTAGAACAGGTACAAGATATTCTAATGTGCTCTGTGGAGCACTGGCAGTCTGCTAGCTAAAATTAACGATCTTTTACACCTTACTGGATTGCAGATCACAGGCTGATAATTCCAGAGTTCTACTTATTTAACAAAATAATACAGTGTATAATTGACTGTTATTCCCAGTTCTACCCAGATATAAATTTTTCTATAAATGCAGAGCTGATACTACATTATGTATTCAAAAACAGTTAACTGTAAAAGCTGTTTGATGTAAGAATTTGGAAGTTACTAGACCTGCCAGCAAGGCTTGAACCAGCAGCGGTACTGCGAGTGAGAACACCAGCATTTCCGTGGTCACAGCTTGCTGCAGCTGCTTCAGACACAGTTGGAGGTCTCTGGCTGGGGACAATGAGATTAAGAAAGAAAAGTGACCAAAACTGTTTCTTTTGTACACATATTTCAGTTCAAGTTGCTTCAGTATGAGAAGTGCTTTTAAAAGCAGCAGAAAACAGCAGCATTTGTAAAACTGCATATTTAATTTATGTAAGGCCACTCAGAGTTTTGTACACCAGAACTTTTGATGCTTCTGCAGCTTGAAATCCTTTCCAAGTGTCTGCAGCCAAATGAGGCAGCTGTATAAATACTGGAAAACTGGAAAGTGGGCTTGGAACATGTATTTTCTATAAAATAAACATAGAAACATATTTTGAGGAATAATAAAAGCATTTATGCATTTTTAAAAAAATTAGTTAAATAGTTATTGTAGAGAAAACACAAGCATCTCTTATTACAGTATTGTAATTTTTGGTCTGTATTCTTCTGTCGTCCAAGCTGCAGAAAAAGACACTGTTCAAAATATATTCACTTTTTCAGTGAATCTACTTCACTGTAAAAGACTTAGCAATGTTTAATTCTTTACTAATGTTCTCTGTCATATACATATATAAACAAATCTGGAAACTCATGAAATATGCTTTAACTGTTGAGATAACTTCTGGTTTTTCTGCACTGAGTAGTTACTATGATTGGCAGTATTTTAAGGGTGGCAGTTACCATGTAATTGTGTATACATTGATTACTTTTTTCCATATACTTCTGTAATAAAATTGAACAGGTATTCTATGTATCTGCATATATACATTCTTCCTTAAACCATTAACTATAAAGAACATGGTTTGTAACTGAATTTCCTTCATTATTTATTTTGGTAAGGACTGTTTTCTCATAAAAATAGCATATCTGCCCTAAAGAGTCTCTCATCACACTACTGAAAGCTAAGGACTAACCATACCAGCAAGAAAATACAGTGAAGTCAGCATATGCATATTGTTTTCTGTCGCCTTGGAGAAATGATTAATTAAAAGAATTGTCATTCAGCTCAATCTGCCAAATTTGATGTGCTATCAAAAGTCCATGCAGTTAAGTAACCTGGTCTGGGATTTTTTTCCTCTTTTTTCTTTTTTCTTTTTTTTTTTTTTTTGTTAATGTTCAACTGCAGTTGCCTTAAAGGTGGTTTTCAGAAGTGGGAAAGTGGGAATCCCACAGCAGGTGGAACTTTGAAAACTACTCATTGTTATTTCACAGTGATACCATATCTAGAAAGCTCCATTTTGGTCTCCTAAAGTTTGTTTCGGTAAGCTGGGAAAGTGCAACAAAGTGACTATTGGTGGGTAACCCAGCCAAGTGTTTCCTGGCAGATGGCATGAAAGATCTGTCTTGACGTTTTAGGGGATTTTAGTCAGATTTTGCTAATTGCTTCCATAGATCTGTACCTAGGGAAGTAATAATCCCCTAGATAGTAGGGTAGTAATAGTACCCCTTTTTCATATGAATACTCTAATCACTTTCTTTCTGGTTAACAGCAATCATTCATAAAAGGCTTGCACACTACAATAGTGTAGACTGATGGCTATATTCCACACATTCCCTCCCATTCTTCAAACAGTGCAAACAGAATTTAACTTTTGGAGCTTCTTGGTGAAAAACTGTTAGTAAAAGGAGTCCCAAGTGTAATAAAATTATTACACAGTTTTATTCTGAAGAACATTTTGCATTTGTTTTAATACAAAATGATGTAGGTCAAGAAATAATTTACAAACCTTTAAGTTCTTATCCTGGCATTTGAAATAAGAATGATTTCAGAGGAAGTCTGTAAGCTATTCATAGGAAACTGTCATTATGTACAAAATGTTTATTGACATGTTTTAAACATCACATTTGTAAAAATGTGAACTGGATTGCTAGCTAGCATATGAACTACAGGTAAAACCTGATAAGATAACTTGTTAGAACAAGTCATTGTTATCCAGTGCTAACAAAATAGACAGTAGCTTTCAGTGTTTTTTGATTTTCCTCCAAGGTCATTTCAGCCTCAAAGTTATTTCAGGGTTTTACTGCATTGTGAGCAATATCTAAGCCCTCTCGATTGCATAAAAATTAATCTTTGAAATAGTACACACATAACAACAGAAAGGTAGAGGCAATAAGATAGTACACTTCTTATATCAAGGTTTTTGGTTCTGTGAAGAATCATTTTATCATATTTCTTTTCTTTCCAAGCAGAGTAAGTAGCACTGAAGTAAAGCATTTTCATTTACCTGTGCAATATTTTCTGCCCACGATGCTTCCTATCAAAGTAGGGTATGTAGGTAATATACTTTGTCAAAACTCTTTGTCTCATGACCAGCAATACCCTGGCATGAACTTGCCAATTTTTAATGACTTTGATATTTATTTTTAGCCTGGGATTAATACAAAAATAAAATTAGAGCTTATTTCTCAATCAAAAAAGTTAAAATAACTTTAAATCTTTAACCTTTCCAAGTATAAGACTTTAAATAGTCAACTGTGCATCCCTTATGGAGAGAGATTCGACTCAATTATTTAAAAAAAAAAAAAAATCTGTTCTGTTGCCAAGTTCAAACTTGACACTTTATCCCAAAAAGAGATTTACACTGAGAGGTGGCTCTATTTAAATATTTATGCTATAGATCTATATATTCCAAGTAAAAATACTTCTATCTAGAATTCGGTGGAGAGTTACAATAATTAGGGTCCATAAATATTGCTGCAGTTCAATTACGGTACAATAATTACAAAATATAGAACATCTCTTTACAAATACAAATCCTTGTATATTACAATTCATTTACAATAATTTCTACTATATAATTTTTAGCAAACTATCTTATCTAATTCTACTATAACCTGGTTGCAAGTGCATTAGTAAGAATGCAATTATTCCAGTATATTTTGCCCTTAATGTGATAGTCATAAAACAGACTACCTGAATGATATTTTCCTATGTAAACTGGTGTTACATATGACAGATTATTCTTTATATAACTTCTTTTTCCAACGATCTCTAACAGGTAGAGCATGACAAACTGTATTTTAGAAGAGCATTAAGAAAAGAAATCAGGAGGCAAGTTTGAAAACAATGTTGGAATGGATATGCAACGGGTAGCTGATATGCTATTGAGTACTGAGGTAATGACATTATTGTTGTCATCACTCATCTCATGTTGCTATTTCCCACGCAATTGTGTGCCGGACTTACACAGACATTTTCACTGACAAAATCCTGCTCTACTATGAAGGACAGCAGCACAAGGTTGAAAGACAGGCAAGATATTACACCTCAGAATCCTGCTCTAGCCCTCAAAACACTGATTGTCACAATCTGCTTGGTTTCAAAATAACCTTATTCCTACAGAGGAACTGAAGATTCTGTGGGAGGAGACCTGACATCCTGCAGCTCTGATCACATTTCGGCAACCTGGAGATAATCAATTTATTAGTTATGGCTTCCTTGAGGTGTGACATCGCTTGTACAAAACTTGGTTGGTTATTCACTGCAGCTAGTGCCTAGCATCTTTAAACTATGAGGCACTTTTTCTGTTATTAGAATCGCCTTCCTTGCTAAATACTATAAGCTTGTAATGCATATCATTTCATCAGCTAAGTCTTCTTCATATCGTCCCGTTTCTGGTTCTTCATCACTGTAGCCAGGACCAAAATCTTGAAGTTCATAATCTTGTCTGCTTAAAATGGGAAACATATCCCCATTGGTCCCATTGCTGATATTTCCATTGAGAAGATTACTTGCCGCACTTTCCATCTCATCAATAGTCATGTCACATGCATCAGCAATCTCGTGTTTTGTAGCTGAAACAAATTTAGGGTCCTTTGCGTACCTTCCTAGGCCTTCAGATATAAGTACCTGGCAGATGGAGGGGAGAGAATGAGATATGCAGTGGAATACAGAAGAACAGACAGGTCAGAACAATGTTTCTCATTTGTGGAAAATACTAGAAACACCATGCTGACTCACTACAGCAACCCACAGCAAAACTGCGTGTGTAAAGAACAATCAAATCAAATCAACAATCAAATGGCTCCAGACCACACTGTATCAGTTATGTGACAGTGTAACTGATAATGCAATACCTCTGACTTTTCTCTTTAGAAATTTGGGGGTAGTCTTTGACAAACATCAATCATCAGGCTGATGTACTAAAGACAACAGTTAATATATCGCAGGTGGTGCAATTAGAACAACTGTCTGAAACATACAATTCTAGATACGTTCTCGGTACTTTGGAGTATATGAAAGAAAGATGCTGAAGTCCCATTTGCAAATAAAATTTAACAAAGTATATTGTTTAGCTCATAGCAATGGAAAGGAAGTGACAGATGGAAGCAAGAACAGTAATTATGATTCAGAAATGCTATCTACTCTTTTTCTTCAAATATTTTTTAATATAAAAGGGAATTGTCAACATTCTTTAGTACACCTACAAAACAGTCCTTGTAGTTGTCATTAACCTCTGCATTTAGTACACTGATTCATAGAGCTCTTGTTCTTTTCTTCAGATTACTGCAAAAATGGTGATGCATTTCTATAGAAACAACAGAGAGAACAGGCATATGCATCATCTCTTCCCTATCTGCCATTGTGAAAAGACACTTCATAAGCAGTCCTCATCTAGAAAACTTAAATTTCAAATCTATCTGAAATCTCTCCAGTTCTCTGACACACTAATGTTAAGATCTGGATTCAGCAGAAATCCTTCACTACGTGACAACTACAAGTAAGTTCCCCCGTCTTTACCTAAAACCCGTTTTGGGCTTTGAAACTGAAAATACCATGTTTTTAGAGAGATAACATGGACTGAATGGTATGCCTTTTAAAGTTAACACAAGAACTCAATGGACAGACACCCCTGGCTACTTCAGAGGTTTCTGTAATACTTACCGCTTCTACCAAACTGTCTGCACTCCTCTGTTTGTCACTATGTTTATGCCTAAAGTCATTAGGAACTGTTAAATTAGCTGGTGTAAATGTTCGGTAGGAAATATCAGGGTCATCTGTGTACCAAGAGCTCCTGTGCAAGGAAGGCAGGCTACCATTCATGTGTTCTGTAGAGTCAGCCCTATCAACCTGGATTAGAGGCGTGTAATACGGAGTACGGTCCCTGTTGGGAGGGGTTGCAGGTGGGGTAGCCCAGGAACGCGTTGAACGACTTGGTGAATGTTTATGAGCTTTGCTGGAATCCAGACCTGCTACAGCCATGACCTGGTAAGGGGAAGAATTTTAGAAGTCAGTGATTTCAAATGCTCAGTCATACTCATTTCTCATTGCAGCAGGTAGTTCAAACCAATTGTTCAGGCAGCAGCTAGGCAAAGCTAACATTTCTGATGTTTAATAGTCACGTAAAGGAGGAACAGGACTGAAATTGGTAAATTGACAGGATAAAATGGTATTTTTTTCTGTTATTACTCAGATCACAAAATCTTGGTAGTAGCATAATGAAGAAAAACAACTGCTTATACAATATATTAAACAAAGAAAGCGCAGTGTAGAAACATTCCTTCTGTCCTGTAGGGACAGGATAGGAAGCTGTCAGCATTTCCGAGGCATTCTGGATGGTGTCTCTAGACTATGGAAACTGCCATCTTCTCAGGGCCATGTCAGAGCTGGGCATTGAGCCTCAGAAGATGTGGATGTTGTACTTAGAAATTCTCACAAATGGAGCTGAGTAACTGCATAGGCAAAGATTAATAGACAGTTGTTGTATTATGCAGTCCTGGTCAAAATTCCTTAGGGCATCCCGACTCTTTGTGGACACTTAAAAAGTCATATGGGCAAACTACTCATTTTCAATGTTTTGTAGAAGGTTGATGTTTGAGAAGCCTCATGTCTAGCAACTATAAGCCTACACTTGGCCTAGGAGTTGTGCACAGGCAAACTACGTAACACACTAGTACTGTTTCAAACAACAGTGAAATGCAGAGGTACAATATAGAAGCTGGAAAAATGTAATTCATTATTAGTTAAATAAGATTTTGTGTTTACCTGCTGTTGCATTAAGTGAAGCGGTAAAGCAGTGCGATGGTGGAAATTAGGAGAGAGTGGTATGTCATCTTGACTATTCTGTCGGCGGAGGCATTCAAAGTTAAAGGAAGATCGTCTATTTGCTGCTGGGAAACCATAATTCATTAGGCAAATAAAATACTTTTCCTCGAAGTCTATTTTCCAGAATTCCAGTGTGAGTCAACCAGCACACAAATAAAAACATATCCCCCAATAAGAAATAAGTTGTGCTAACAGAAGCAAGCAGCTGGTTATAAGATAAAGGGTAGGCTCATCATGTGGGCAAATGCAGTCCTAGGTAGAAACCATACAAGCAGCCTAACGTGACAGAATTTGAAGCAGCTATGTTTCACAAAGCAAGCTGGTGTTATGCAGCAGACTGGTTCAGACACTTAACCTCAGAATTTTGTTGTAAACTCTCGTGAATAGTTACAAAGAAGAGTTTCTTCTTTCTTCCCCGTGGTTTTAAACTCTTCATTCTAGTCAACCAGTCTTCCCGAAGGAAATACCAAATCCCCAATTCCTTGGAAGCAATGTGTAATATGAAAAACCATATGCAAGTCAAAGTTGACTCATGTTATCAATTCCTGATATCAATATCATTATATCAATTCCAGATGTTTATTCTGTTACTTATGACAATGATAAGCCATGGTCTCTACTGTTATGCATGCTGTTATTATTCATGTAAATGCTAGAAAGGAAAAAGTAGAAGTCTAAACTGGATCAAGATGTTTGGCTGATGTGGAAATGTTTCAGCTGGTCTTGGTGAAAGCCCAGGGAACGATAGGAAGCAGTGCATGGGTATCATTCCTCTGTGTTAGCTTCAGTGTGAAGAAAACCTGGGTGCTGAACAGCAGCTGGAATCCAGATACGTCCTCACAGCTGTGAGCATCACAGTGCAACACTGGAAAGAGCCTGGCCGTACAAAGCACTGACACAAAATTGTGCGCTCTTGAAAGTTACTGAAAGTATTCTTGGTATCTTTTTTCCCAACACCAAGAATTTTGTGAACAGTACAGAAGAGTTAAGTGCCATAGACTTAGGATTCCTCATAGTTATCACCAGGCACTTAACGCTCAATACTACCAGTCAAGGTTCCTTAAAGAGCCACTGGACTGTGGTGGGTTGACCCTGGCTGGATGCCAAGTGCCCACCAAAGCCGCTCTATCACTCCCCTTCTCAACTGGACAGGGGAGAGAAAATATAACAAAAAAGCTCATGGGTCGAGATAAGGACAGGGAGATCACTCAGCAATTACCGTCACAGGCAAAACAGACTTGACTTGGGGAAAATCAGTTTAATTTATTACCAATCAAAACTGAGTAGGGCAATAAGAAATAAAACCAAATCTTAAAACACCTTCTCCCCACCCCTCTCTTCTTCCTAGGCTCAACTTCACTCCCGATTTTTCTCTGCCTCCTCTCCCCGAGCAGTGCAGGGGGACGGGGAATGGGGGTTGCGGTCAGTTCATCACATGATGTCTCTGCTGCTCCTTCCTCCTCAGGGGGAGGACTCCTCACACTCCTCCCCTGCTCCAGCATGGGGTCCCACCCACAGGAGACAGTCCTCCATGAATTCTCCAGCATGGGCTCCTTCCACAGGGTGCAGTCCTTCAGGAGCTGACTGCTCCAGCGTGGGTCCCCCCCGGGGTCACAAGTCCTGCCAGCAAACCTGCTCCAGTGTGGGCTCCTCTCTCTCCACGGCTCCACAGGTCCTGCCAGGAGCCTGCTCCAGCGTGGGCTTTCTACGGGGTCACAGCCTCCTTTGGGCACATCCACCTGCTCTGGAGTGGGGTCCTCCCCGGGCTGCAGGTGGGTATCTGCTCCACCATGGACCTCCATGGGCTGCAGGGGCACAGCTGCCTCACCATGGTCTGCACCACGGGCTGCAGGGGAATCTCTGCTCCGGCGCCTGGAGCACCTCCTCCCCTCCTTCTTCACTGACCTTGGTGTCTGCAGAGTCATTCCTCTCACATAATCTTACTCCTCACTCCAGCTGCAGTTTGTGTCCTGGTGGTTTTTATTTTTCTTAAATATGTTATCACAGAGGTGCTACCACTGTCGCTGATTGGCTCGGCCTTGGCCTGCAGTGAGTCTGTCTGGCATTGGCTCTCTTGGACACAGGGGAAGCTTCTAGCAGCTTCTCACAGAAGCCACCCCTGTAGCTCCCCCTGCTACCAAAACCTGGCCACACAAACGCAATACATGGACTAAAATAGGCACCTCCAGGAGGTGATTCAGTCCATTTCATGCAAACTTTGTGTCTCTTTCCATTGTCTCTGTGGTAAATCCAAATACAGGAATGTAAGCCTTAAGCTCCTGATCCTAACAAATGCTAAATATCCCAATACCAAAATGAATAAAAACCAACCCAAAAAGTCGCTTCATCCAAAACAAGACACTGCTTTGCACATGCTTCTCCCCAGGAGAGAGTCTGAAAGAGTATTTTAACCATTTCCCAGTACGCTTCTGGAAGTTGCTCAAATACTGTGGTGATACGTTTGGTATAAAAACCTCTAGAAAGCTTGACACAGAGCTCAATTTACTAACTACAGTACTCAGCCAAGGCACTGTGTTACATTAACTTGGACTGAATCCAGGTGCTAGCAGAAACTGATTAGTGCAATATTGCAGGTTCTTTTTTTTTTTGTTTTCTTTCTCTTTTTTCTTTACATGAGAACATCAAGGCTTCCACCCCAGGCCAAACAGCCTATACGCTAGTTACAAATAATAGGTTTGAGCTTTTAAAATCTGCTGAGATACCAAGCCTCTGAAATTTCTCAATTTTGTTCTTGAACATTAAATATATGGTTATGACAGGAGGCCTGGCTGTGCTTTTGTGACATTATACTGGTGTTAAGTCAAAGGGCTTTACTTCCTACATTACCCTTACATAACTTAGATCAGAACTTGGTCCTCTTATCCTAGGATATCAAATATGTTCTTATCTAGTACATTTATCTAGCCTCTCGTACGTGAGGTAGAAAGCGTAAGCTTCCTCTGAAGAAACATCTGCTTAATACTGTCATCAAAACTTCATCAGAAAAGTTAAATGAAGCCCAAAGGCTGCAGTCGCAGGAAGCCTTCAATCCTCCCCTCTCAACTCTTCCATGGGAAGACCCCAGAGGATTTTTATAAGAAGGTTGTTCTCCTGCAATGTACGGAAAGGATATCTAAAGCATCCATCTCTTTCTTCAGCTTAAAATTCCTCTGCTATCAGAAAAGCTTGTAGAAAGATGTACAGAGTCTCCTTTCATAGTCTCCCCTTTGTCTGATGTCTTTTCCTTCTGCTACTGGGAGAGAGCTAGCAGCTTTCCGTACACTTCACTATCATTCATCTGAGTTATTTACCCTCTATAGTGCAAGACCCATATTCTTTCTGCTTTTTCCATCTGTGCCCCTTCAGGTCAAAATAACCAAATAGCAGAGAGCATTACTAGTCTTGTCATAAGGAGCTGAGTGCCAAAAGTGAGGATCCAGCAGTGACAGTATTGCTGAAGAATGTTTCCTTTATTATATAATAATACATTGTGGTGCTGCCCTTTACTACAGCTTTCTGAAGCTTTAGACAGTCTGAGACCGTACTTCAGGCACTGTATAATGATCCCACAACACTTATCTCTGAAACACTTTTATTTTTTAAATCTATACCGGCATTTTCTTTAGGGTGCCTGAGAAAGAAAGGACTGAAACCCATTTTCCTAACCACAGGGTCCTTACAGTCATACTTCCAGAGATAAATGGACTGTAACTCTGGCTGCTAGCATCATCAGAATGAAAGACAACTCTGGTTTTGCTAGAAAGCCAATCCACCTTAGAGCAGACAAATCATGGAGACTCTTCTAGAAATGATCCTGTACTGTCTTGTCTGGATGGCACTGGTTAGATAGCATCATCCAAAGACATGTGTAACAGACCTGGCTGTGCTGACCGCACCATGAGTACCCTTAGGGACACTATGGGGTTGCATGGAACCGAGCATTGTTTCTTGTGCACCAGCCCAGTCTCTTTATCTTAGCATTGGGAAGTGGTTTATTTTACACTTCACAACCCCAAGTGCTTCCTCTCTGTGAAGTGTCAGAGGTCAAAGACCAAAATCCAAGCACCTAGTTTCACCAGAGGATTAGCACTGCTAATCTCTGCAGTTTGGTCTGGAACATACAAAAACAAAATTACAAGATAAGAAGCTTTTAGAAATGCAGATAAAACAATATTGTGCTTGAGATAAGGGGAAACCAAGGGAAAGATCTAAGGAGGGGAATAAGTGAAAATTAAAGAAACAGTTAAAAAAATATCAGTTGACAAGACTAATTCAATCTAGAAATTGAAGCATTTTCTCCCTCAGAAGAAAAACATAATATTAAGCATTGTTCCTGAGATGGCAGACTAAAGTACCAATGTGAATCTGAAATAAGATACTTAGCCCAGGGTAATACTTTTATTTTTCACAGGGATTTGAGGAACTTATGTTAAAAAGCTAAAGGCACTTCAAAAGTAAGGAAAAAAAAATTAAGCTCACTCTTGGTTGTCTTTTCCCTGAAAATTATCCTACTTCAGACTCCAGTGTTTACTAAAACAGTACGAGGTAAACATGTAAATGGAATGGATTACAACGTCATTAAGCAGCGTGTCTTAAGAGACAGGGGAAGTGCCAGTGGGCGAGTCACTAGAGAGACAACGGCACTGGCTCATGGCAACACCGCACATCTGTACGTGTGAATAAAGGGCATACGGATTGAAACGCTCTGATCAAAGTTTCAAAGCAACCTACTGCTGCTGTGTTCTACCTCGCTCTTTCTTAATTTATCGAATCAAGTTAAAACTGGCAATTAAATTAGTTATTTTTATGGTATCAGATGAGTGAGGCAAGAGATATTAGAAAGACAGACTTGTAAGCTAGGATCCATAGATTCTCCGAGCAATCTCTCAGGATGGATAGGCATTTCTGCCACACACAATAATCCACCAGCAACAGTAATCACGAAACGTCACGCTTGAAATCCAAGTTAAAAAGAAGCCTTTTTAAACTGAACAAGTCTGAATGCATTTAAATAATTCTGGATTTGCAAACAAATTGTTCTTAATGTACTTACGTGTTGGTGTTGGAGGTAGCAGCCGTCTCCTAGGAGATCTTTTTGTATCGTAACAGATCTGTGAATCATCTTCCTCAAAAAAACCATGTGGGTGATGGTAACCTTTTGGTCTCTCAAAATCTGAGTCATGGCAGTGATACCTACAGTGGTGATTATATATATGCCTGCATTTAAAATACAATAAAGAAAATGTTATTTCAGTCAGTTTCTGTAAATTGATCTAGTAGATTTCTTCTAGAAGATTTTCAAATCTACTCTTTCTCCAGCAAGATAGCCAAACATTACATTATATAATTACACAACTCAATTTTAAAATCCAGTTTCTGTATGCAAACTGATTTTGAGATAGCGAACATACGTTTTTGTACTAGTATAGTTACATAGAAAATTCTTAGGTGAAATTTTTATCAAATTATATTTTCAATGAAGTTATTCTTACCAGTACAGGCTAAAATGTAGGACCTCAGTTGTACACTGCTTAAAAAAAAAAAAAAAAAAAAAGCAAAAACTCTGTTCTACTCCTGCCATGCTCTCTTGTGAACACCGGGTAACGTGGAGCACAGAAACTCAGAGAATAAAATTAAGCCTTTTACATTCTGGATACCTCTCTTGTCAAAAATCAAATCTTGTAAGGGTGTTATTTGACTATTTGACTGTAATTATCATATAAAAAAATTACTGACATGAGAATTCTGTAAAATTTAGCTTTCATGCAAACCAAAAAGATGCACGTTACGGTGCCAATCTTGCCAGAATTCAGATGGCAAAGAAAGGCAGCACAGGAGGAGGAGGAGAATTAAGCATGTCTGGCACTTGTGCATATGTGCTTATGGATCTAAGATAAAATGGCAATGAATTCCTCTACTTCTGGGCTGGACTTCAAAATAAAAATTTATTGACGTAAGTGGAGAATATTTTGGGGAAGTTATTGAATTTATTCAGCAGAAGGGAAACACAGCTATTTTAAGGAAGATGAACACAACCTACTCAAGATCTTGTAAATGCATATGTCTTTCCATGTCATAATGAGAAGGTGAATATTATGGAATTAAAAAAATCACAAGATATTTGGTAAAAAGGAACATTCACTTTTTTTTTAAAATAGGAAGCCTTTCAGTATTACCAAATATTGGTTTTGTTTCATGGCAGGTTGATACTCAGAAAACACTGGAACAATCTCACATTTTAAAGACTAAATCAGGAATATCAGGACTTGCTCCTGAAGTAGCATCCAATCATTGCCTGAACCACTGGAAACCTATTATTTATGTACAGGAGTGGTCCCAACGCAAAGTTAGCACCTGCCCTGTTGCTGAAGCCATCACTGCCTGAAGCCAATGGCACAGTGCTGAAATCAAACTAACTTGTGAGCCACTGTTCCCAAGTTAGAAAAACCCACCCCAGTCCATTTCTGAAGAAACTGTGTGAAATAGTTTCAGACAAAAGCTTAAATTTACTAAAATTAAATCAAGGCCTTTTCTTCTTAAATCTGAAATGAAGATATTGAATGCAAAGATCACAGGAGTTAAATACACAGGATCAAGCAAGAGTTGTTAAAAAACACTACTGGACCTTGGAAAAAACCTACTGGGCTGAAATACTGTAATTAACTAGGATACTATTCCAAGTTTTGTCTGGAGAAAACAGGAATTAGTTAGAAAACTGAGAGGAAACAGGTTACAAAACTAGAACTCTGCAGTTACAGTAAGGAGCCTCAGATTAACACAAATTTGGACATTATGCAGTAATAGAAATTTGTAAACGCTAGTTATTGACTAAAATTTAACTGATGGCCTTTCCATAAAGCTTATGAATAAAACTTAAAACCCACCTATTCCAAACATATAAAGGCCGGGACAATTATGACAGTGTTAAGTGTTTGTACTAAGGAGACAAAAAATGGTGCCAAGAGGAGGACTGTTAATAAAGAGGTATAATGAGAATTTTCAAAAGGAAGTCATCTAATTCTTTACACACACTATTCCTATTCACCATTTCACTTGCCAGCAGTTGTGGAGTATTAACTTCATTGGAGAATTTTCAGTCTAAGTGTGTGCTTACTGAAGTCTTTACAGATACATACCTAATTTATTGAACTATTTTCCCCAGTTTAACAAATATCCTCACCTGCTTCCTGACAACATACTGTCTTCCTCGTAATATTCTTCTCCACTAAAATATTCCTGCTCTCCCAAATAATGATCATCATTGCAATAGTCTTGAACTTCACGTTCTTCGCGGCAAATAGTAGGTCGACGCCCATCACCAGAGTCAGATCTGTAAGTAGCAAATACTTATATTTTTAAATATTTTATTTATATAAAATGTATA